GCATATGGAAAACCAAACTGGGAAATAAATCATAATGTTGGAGTATTTTGAGGCTTTATCACTGATATTAATAAAAATCACTGATATTAATATCACTGATACTGATATAGAATAAAACTTCTGCAGAAAGGGCTCAGCTTGATGTCACATTCCAGAATAACTATCATTGATTTCTTCATGCAAACTACCTATGTTTATAAGTTTCACAAATGTCCCTAAAATCTTCCTAATATGCTTGGCAATAAGAAAACTCATGGCAATATAGTCACAGTTTTGAGTGTCATCTGTCAAAGCATGGATGGCGCAGATTGCCTCTGGAAGAGTTCAAGATACTTGCTTTTGAAGAATTAGGCTCCAAATAGCACCACAGAGTACTGGTCACCATTTCCAAACCCAGGTGTACCTTCGCTACAGTAGACACCTGGTGAAGTAGAGATGTGCTTTCTAGGAACAAATCTTACTATTCGATCAGGAAATTGCTGCCAAACTAAGAAAGCAAAAACAAGGTCCTGAGCCCTAAGGAGTGAGTCATCATCTACCATTCATACCACCTTGGTTTCCAGCTCAGGGAAGACTAGGAATCGATTTTCTCATTTATCATTCTGTTTGCCATCTGTTCTTTGAAGATCACAGGGACAGGGTGAAGCCCTAGAGAATTCCATAACTCATCTGGCCCTCTCTCCCCAATATTGCTCCACAACACAATCACTTTCACTTTGTGCTGCTATGGTACTGCCTGACAATGATTTAAAAGTCTCAGTAAGAGATCTGTTCTGTTGTATGTCTGCATCATGAGAGTAAAGGAATTCAGGGTGGCCTTACATGTTCCTATGCAACATAAGCATCTTGTCTTCCTTGATATTGAAAAGTAAAGTGGTCGAAGTACCAGCTGCCAGTAGTAACACGAGGATGACCACCAAAGAGAAATGAAGCCCTGAGATCCTTGTCACTCTCCAGAAAGTTTGCAGATGTGGCAATACCTCATTGTATTAAAGTTTAACTTAAAAAAATTATTTTTTCAGAACTTGAAAAAAGTAGTTCTTTATTTCCTATGGAACTATAGAAAATTCTAAATAGCCTATGCAATTCTACGGAATAAAAATAAATATGGAGGCATCATGTTACCAGACTTCAGGTTATACTACAGATCTATGGTGATCAAAACAGCATCATACTGGCACAAAAATAGGACATGGATCTATGGAACAGAATAGAAAACATAGAGATAAAACCAGTGTCATATTGCCGTCTGATCTTCAATAAACAAAATAAAAGCATACACTGGAGAAACAAATCCCTATTTAATAAACGGTGCTGGGAGAACTGGTTAGTCACGTGTAAAAGACTGAAACTGAATTATGTACATTAGGTATAAGTAAGCGAGGTGACGGATGTGTTAATCAGTTCCATACAAGCATTTCACATTGTATATCAAATCAGTACACTGTACCTATAAGCACATCAATGTACACAGTTATGATTTAATACAGAAAAAAATAAATAAAATAATAATAAAAATAAATATTTTATCTGAAAAAAAAGACTGAAACTGGACCCACACCTTTCACCACTTACAAAAATTGACTCACTGTAGATAAAAGATTTAAATCTAAGACACAAAATGATAAAAAAAAAAAAAACTCTAGAAGAGTGTGGGAAAAACTCTTAACAATATCATCTTGGGAAAAGATTTCATGAAGAAAACACTATTGACAATTGAAGCAACACCAAAAATAAATAAATGGAACCTGTCAAACTGAAAAGCTTCTGCACAGCTAAGGGCACAACGAAAGCAGACAGACAGCCTTCCAAATGTGAGAAGATATTCACATGTTATGAATCTGACACAGGGCTAATAACCAAAATCTACAGAGAATTCAAACTAATCAACAGGAAAAGAGCAAGCAACCCCCCTTATCACAGGGCAAAAGACATGAACAGAACCTTCTTCCAAGAAGATAGAAAAATGGCCAGTAAACACATGAAAAAATGCTCATCAACCCTAATCATTACAGAGATGCTAATCAAAACCAGAGATATCACCTAACCCCAGCAAGAATAACCAACATCACAAAGTCCCAAAGCTGCAGATGCTGGCATGGGCATAGAGAGAAGGGAATACGTCTACAGTCCTGCTGGGATTGCAAACTGATACAGTGTTTTTGGAAAGAAATATAGAGAATCCTCAGAGTTAAAAAATAGACCTTTAATTTGGTCCCACCAGCCCATTATTAGGTCCAAAAAATAATTAAATGTAACCTGTCAAAAAAAATCATTTTACCATAAGGACATTTGCACTTGAATGTTTATTGCAGCTCAATTCACAATCACAAAGATGTGGAAATAACCCAAGTGCACATTAACCCATGAATGGATTAATAAACAATGGTATATGTACACCATGGACTACTATTCAGCCATAAACAAAAGCTGAGGCAGAAAGATTCCTTGAGCCCAGGAGTCTGAAGTTGCCCGGAGCTACGATGATGCCAGTGCACTTTAGCCAGGTGACAGAGGAAAGCTCCATCTCCAAAACAAACAAACAAACAAATGTGCGACTCTTCATTTCTAACAAGATTCTACTGGTCTGTGGACCACATTTGGAGAAGCGAGAACCTACCAGGCCCTGGGGTTTGTTTTGGTTCATTTCTAGGTGGACGACATAAAGTCTGAAACAAGCTCTGAGGAAACCCCAGACTTGATCCGGCTGCCCTTGGGTGACACACCCAGGGCTGCTGTTCCCCATGAGGGTGTTCTGAGAGCACTGCTGGGCCTACTCCAGAGGGGACACACTGGAAACAGGTGAAATGATTTGGGCAGCAGCTCAACCTCTTACAACATTATGGTAAATGCAATGATCTGAAATCTGACTGAGCTGTTTCTGCTAAATTCTGAATTTGAGTTTTGGTAAATCAGTTTTCCCTTTTAGGCTTTAACCACTCCTTTTTACACCCCTGAGTTTTGTTTTGACCAATGCATAGTTTCTACTTTATAGTCCAATCTAAAACCAGACAGTCCTTTTTTACGCCTCAGATTTCATTTTGAAAACTATGTACTACCTTTGTCAGAGGACAAAGAGTTCATCTCAAAGTGCAAATCTTGCAGTAATATCACCCTGATGCCCTGTGAGGCTGAGCCCCTTAGACATTTGGCGATGAACATGGCAGAATAGCATCTTAAAACACAAATGCTCAATCAATGAATAATAAAAATTTCCCATATGAAAATCTGGGATTGAGCATAACCCATCCATATCTTCTGTTTTAGGAGTTGGCAAATTTTATATGTCAAGGGCCAGATAGTAAATCCATTTTAGGCTATATAGACTTTATGACCTCTGTGACAATTATTCAACTGTCACTGTAGCATAAAAGAAATCTAAGACAATATGTCCCAAAAAAGGGGGAGGGGGGAACATAACTGTGTTCCAAATCAAACTTTCTTCACAAACATAGGCAGTTGGCAGAATTTGACTGTGGAACATATTTTGCCCAACTCTCTTTTAATCAATCTGCAAAGAACAACATCTAGGCATTTATTTGCCAGACCCATGTTTCATCTTATTCAGGGTCTACTTTGGAGGACAATAATTATGATCCTCCAGTCAGATATGCTCTCAAAGTTTGGTCTTTCTCCCACTGTTAAGAATGAATTTGCACTTTCATTTGTAAGGATCCATAAATACAGTGAAATATAAAAAATTTCTTCTCTTGAGGGGCATATCCAATGACAGAAGTGAGGGGATGAGAAAATCATGACAACATCATGAACAAAGACCAAGAAGGTGCAGAGATCATATCATGTTTGAGAAATGGGGTTAAAATATGGCCTATTGGATAGAGAGCATGATTTGAGAGGTGGAAAAGATGATAGGTAGAGACAGAAAATGAAATTAGGGATGTAGTGAAGGGCCAGAGCATGATCAGACTTCTATGTCATGCTAACCAATTCCAACTTATTTGGGGTGGCATGGAGAAAGTGGATGGTTATCTCATTAATCAACACATACACTTCCATATAACTGCTCTCTACCATTTCAGAGATTATGGGCACAAAAGCATTTATATGATAGCAAGTCAGAGCCAGATACAAGCCCCACTTATAGACAACGGCCACAACAGTGCTATCAGCCCTGAGAATATAACATGAATGCAGCTTGGGCAATCACAGTCCTTCCACTGTACTATGTGCTTTCAAGTGACATAACTTAAGTACCTCAAAATCATCTAACCACACTTAACCCACGTGAACTCACATGTTGCTAAACTCAGTAGATTCTTCTGGCATTTATAAATTGTTTTATACTTCTGATAGGACTATTTTAAACTACAGTCATAGAGGCCTAAAGAATTGAAATGAATTTAAAATGCAGGTAAAACAATATATTGTAGCTTCTATTTCCATCCTCCTCACACACAGAGAGAGAAAGTTGTAGCTAAGAAAACATGTTATGACAAAAGTTGAAATTTTATAAATAGCAGAATACTGCCATAAACCTTAAGTTCTCCTATGTGATATCCAATAGGATAGTTGTATCACTATTTCTACTCGTACTGTAAAAAAAAAAAAAGTCACATGTTTATGGATTTTGTGAACTACTTGGTTACTTATCAAACACTCTGAGACATTACATGTTATAATAGTTTTACGAGGTTTTGGTTAAATGTCACTTTCTCCAGCAGACTTTCCTAGAACTCCCAACCTTGGTCGGTGCCCTTTCATTGCATTCCTGAGTCACCTTGTGCTTTCACTGTCAGAGCGTCCAGCCTGCTGCCTGCTGCCTGCTGCCTGCTGCCTCGACAGGCTGCAGGCGCTTTCAGCACAAACCCACATCCTTCTCATTCACTGTGATATCCCCCTGCCTTGCAAATAACAGACCCTCAATATTGATTTGTTAGATGATGAATAAATAGAGGAAAGTATACTTAGGAACTAAGTCAATATTTTATCTTCCTATTACAATATTTTATTCATTCTAAATATCTGTTTGATCCTTTCAGGTTCTGTAAATCCCCCAACAGACTCTCCACAGAGCATTACGGAATCTATCCTTGGCACCCAACCTTCTCCAGCCAACAGCGTATCTCCTACAAGTAAGAATGTTTTTATGTTGTTCATCTTCCTATAAGCTGCATTAATCCTTTAACCAAGCAGACTGATATTGAAAAAATGTCAGCAAACTTGCATGATTTATGCCCATTTCTTAGCCATGACTTTTTTTCCTTCAACTTCATTGAAGTATAATCCACATATCAGACAAGTCACCCATTTAAAATGTACAATCCAGTGGTCTTTATTAAGTTTACAAAGCTGTGTGATCATCACTGCAATCAATTCCCTTTTTACCATCCAGCAAAGGAATTCCTAAACATATTAAGTACAATTCTCAGGACTTCAAAGAGTGAACACAACTTCTGAAGTCCTTCGTTTGAAGCCCTGGGAAAATCAGGGTTAATAAATGTTCATCAAGTAATTTAAATTCTCTATTCATTATTAAATAGGTTTAAAAAATTGTCTTACTCCACAACTATGTTCTCAATAGGGAGTCTAAGAAATTGATTATACTTGGGGGTTCTGTGGGCCAAAGGTAGTTAGATAATTTTAAAGTTAAACTTGTTCTGGTTCAAATTAATTTTGACATAGTTGATGGGTGAAGACTATGAATTCAGCCCTCCCTCCCGTTTGTGGCATCCTTAACAATGGAGGTCAGCCTGGGTGGGGGTTACTATGGCGAAGGAATGGCAGTGACTCTCAGAAGCTGGCGCTGATGCAAATGCATTGTAAATTCCCATGTCAGTAGGCTTTGTGTTTAACAGAGAACCGTGGTGACTTCCTCTAATACCAAAAGCTTATATTCTATGTAAAGTAGAAGTACGGCTGTCATTTCTTGTTTAATGAAAACTACCAATTTTAGCTTAAAATGAGAACTGAAAATGGAATAAAACAAAGGCAGTCAGTAAGAATGAACAATTGCTTTAGCCCCTCGCCTTTGGCATGTAGCCTGCAGTCACTGTCACAGGTTGATACCCCTCAGAAAATGAAGCAGGCAGAAATGCTTGTAAATCACCCATCAAAAGCGTTACATCCATCTAGTGTCTTCATGTTCTTAATGTTTTGTAATTTTTCTTTTCTCCTTTTTTGTTTCAGTTTTTTTCCTACTGTTAGCTCATCATTCCGCCGTAAACCATAGCAGATTACAGTGTTTCATTTAACAAATGTTAGCGTAGTCAACAATGATAACACCTTAAGTTTCTCTCTAGTACCCTTCGTATTAGTTATTCATTGCTGCATAAAAATTTGCCTCAAAATTTAGCAATTAATAAAACATATGTTGTCTCATATGGTTTCTGGGGATCAGAAATCCAAGAGCAGCTTAGTTAAATGGTGCTAACCTAGCTTTTTTTAATGACATGTAGTCAAGCTGTAGGCTGGGGCTTCAGTCATCTGAAAGCTTGAATGCAGCTAACACATTTGCTTCTCAGCTCAAGTATGTTCATGGGAGACCTCAGTTCCTTACTATGTGGGCCTCTTGATAAGTCTGTTTCCACTCTGGCAACTAGCTTCCCTCAGACTGAGTAATTCAAAAAATAGAGTGACTTAGGGTGGCACCTGTGGCTCAGTGGGTGGGGCACCGGCCCCATATACTGAGGGTGGCAGGTTCAAACCCGGCCCCGGCCAAATTGCAACAAAAAAATAGCTGGGCATTTTGGCGGGTGACTGTAGTCCCAGCTACTCGGGAGGCTGAGGCAGAAGAATCACCTAAAGCCCAGGAGTTTGAGGTTGCTGTGAATTGTGACGCCAGGGCACTCTACTGAGGGTGATAAAGTGAGACTCTGTCTCTACAAAAAAAAAAAAAAGAAAGAAAGAAAGAAAGAAAGAAAGGAAAAAGAAATAGAGTGACTTAAAACAATAGCCATGGAACCTTTTTCTGACTTAATCTCCAAAATTATGCAGTAGCACTTCTGCTTTTTTTGTCTATAATAAGTAAGTCATGAGGTCCAGCTTTAAGGGGAAGAAAAGTAAACTTCACATCTTGAGGAGAAGAATATTAAAGAACTTGTGGACAAATGGAAGCCACTATACCCTGTCATTTAGAAGTGTTTGAACATAAAATGGAATGTAGCTTGATCTTTTTTATTATAAACAGTAGACAAAGTATTATCATTCCCATTTTCCAGATGGGAACACTGAGGCACTGAGATCATATAACTTGTAAGTGACAGAGTTAGTATTTACACCAAAGTGTGACTCTAAATCTAGTTCTCATCTCATTAGATACCATATTTTTCTCCAACTGGTCTAAGCATTTCATAAGGACAGGAACCATGTTTATTTTGCCTCATACCACAAACCTAGCACAGAATAAGCAGGCAAAAAATATTAGTTGAATAGCTGAATTAATAAAAGAATTACATTTTTCACTATGTAGATGTCATTTCATAGACTATGTGTTAACAAAAGATAATAATTTGTTTCTGACTTCAAAAAGGTAGCAGTCTATTTGGAAAAGATGACATACACACAGAAATAATAATTCAGAGCAGTAGCTTAACAGGTAGCATATCTTATAGAATCAAAATACCCAGGGAGAGATAGACTAGAAAATATTAAGCTTTGAGTTAGAAAAGGTTGATGAAATCAGGAAATGTTGCCTATGAGAGAGGAAATAACCTGATTTTTGAAGTGTGTATATGAGTATTGTATCTATTTGACACAGTGGAGAGCTCGAAAGAATACTCTAAACAGAGAAAACAAAGTGAGCAGTTGTGCACTGACAAAGATGGTCATGGGAACTTGAGAAAACATCAATAGGTAAGCTTGGGTCAAAGAGGTAGGCTTGTGTGTGAGATGCAGGAATGGAGATTAGAAAACACAAAATAAAGTGAGCCATGACAACCACCGTGATTAATGTGCAATCTTCAAAGGACATTTCCTTTCCATGGAAGCAAATATTGTACGTTGGGTGTACGTATAATCCATTTTCTCATCTTTTACACAAAAGGTAGCATACAATGCCTATTGTTTTCTACCTATTTTTATTTAATGATAAATGTTGGCCAGTCTTTCCATATCAGTACTTAGAGTGTGTTCCTCTTATTTTTTTTTTTTTATTACAGCGGCAGGAATCCACTATAATTTATGTAACCAGTACCACTTTAATGGACACTTGTTTCCATTTTTCTATTATAAAAAATGCCATAGAGAAAAAAATAGAGACAGAGAGACTTGAACCTCAGCATAAGGACTCTCAATGCTATTTTTTAGGAAATGGGGCAGTGACCCCATTAATATTTTTTTAAATGTAAATGACTTAATTTATTGACCAAATATTTTTGGAGCGTCTGCTATGTATCAGGTACTCTATAGGTGCTGAGAATACTAGTGCACAAAACTGGAGGTGGACCCCTCATGACATTGACATTCTGCCAGTTAAAAACCGACATACATTTCTTCTAGTTGAATGTTTATGTAATTAATCTACACATATTAAGAGTTTACATCAGCCCAAACACCATTCTTACTTTTGTGAAGAAATTCAAAGCAAAAGAAAGCACAGTTGCTGCCCTTAAGAAACCTGCAATTTAATATAGGTCTAATAGAAAGAAGGAAGAGAAGCACAGTTGAGGAAACATATTTGTTGAAAAACAGGGGGAAATGCTACTGAATCTCGTCTAACACTAATATGATACGGTTGGGAAGTTTTTAGAGAATCAAACAACCTTTTTAAAATAAAGTCTCCCTGCATTGGATTTGAGATCTGTTTTAGATTAGTATTTCTCAGCCGAGGCGATTTTGCCCCCCCCGAGGCGATTTTGCCCCCCAGAGGCAGTGTCAAGAGACATTTCAGGTTGTCACAGTGAGGGTGGGAGGATGCTACTGGCATCTAGTGGGGAGAGGCCAAGAATGCTGCTGGGCGTTATAAAACATAGACCAGAACAGCCCTCTTTACAAAGAATTATCTGGTCCAAAATGGCAACAGTGCCTAGATCAAAATACCCTGTTTTAGAATAAGACTCAGGTATAATTACAGTAGGTATCTCTCACTTTACAAAATCAAATGCAGACCTCAGTCACGATGGTAACCATGCAGCTGTCCCAAAAGTCACCACTGAAGTCTCCATACATAGAGAAAATGGTAAGCTAAAATCATTACAAAATTTTGTAAAATATTTACAAAATATTCTGTACTTGTTGGCAACCTGTTTGTAGAATTTTGTAATGAACATTTTTTAAATTAAGGTACATTTAACTAGCATTTCTCATTTTCTCTATGTATACTGACTTTAGGCGTGACTTTGGGACACCCCATACCTATAGATTATGTTTGGAAGAGTTTTTTGTCTGAGTTTTATATGTCAAAAAAAAAAAAAGTTAAATCAGTGGCTGATCCTATCTAAATAAAACTTCCCTTGAATAATCTCTGAACTACTATTGAAAAATCCCAATTTTGTCTTGGCAAACTGGAGGTTAACTGTACAATCACACACTGACTTGCTGCCTCAGGAGCTGGTCCATTTCACTTGTTCACGGTCTTTAAAGAGAGGAAGCAGGATGGAGCATGTCATGGAAACCAACTTCAAAGGCAGTGGTTTCATTCCAAATTCTCCGATGTAACTAATTTCATAATTCAGTCATAATTATTAAGCCGCACCTCTGGCCACAAGCATCCAATTCTTATTCTTTTTCCTTCAATGAAAGGATATTTTCTAAACAAATGTAGGAGATCATGAAAGCAATATTCCTTAACCAGGGGAGGGGAACTTTATAACTCATAACACGCTGCAAGAGTCGCCCAGGGAGACCTGACTCAATTCAACCAGAACCAATTTGTGTTTGCTGAGTCCCAGCTGCATTCCCAGCGCTGTTCTAGGAAAAGACACGGGGCTGACAAGCCAAGCAGCAAGATGAGACAAGCCCACGCGGAGCAGTCAAAGGCAACTGATGAATCCAGGGCGGGCGGTAGGGGCATACCCAGGAGCTTCCGTTGCCTTGAAAAGAGAGCCCTGTGCCTTTCAAGTCACTGGCTTTGACTTGGCTACTAGTTATACAGTCTGAGAGTAGGCCTCAGAAATGCCAACCCCACCTGTGACAA